CTCAGCGGGCTGAGTCTCCATGGGTCACTACCCTCTGCTCTGTCTCCGGAGACAAATGTGCCGAGCCAGAGGGAAACCTGCACGTAAGGGAAACCCTACAAGATACTGCCCACCTCCCAGCCACAGTCACCTCGCTTCCTCTTCTGCTCTGCACTTGGAGAGGTTAAGCTTGCTGTTCTGCAAGAACCGCTGCAAGGAAGAGGAAACAGCGCCAGTCTTCAACCAGGCCAGCAGGAGAGATGGTGCTCAGTACTCGGGGATGAGAAGAAGAAAATCAGAATCCAGGTGGGGGTGTGTATCCGTTTTCTTTCCTAGTCTCATGGCAGATGTCTGGCAGCCTTGACTTTGAAAAACCTACTTATATGCTACATTGTTAGGTTTTCAGGAACAAATCCAAGTGTAGAGAGACGCACGAGTCTCAGGGCCCCCTCTCTAAACAGGGTCTCTGGGGAACACGAGCGGCTAGATGAGAATTGGTTTCGAAAATGCCTGTTGCAGAAAACTGGGGGAGCCACCACCTTTGGGCTGTACCTCTGGGTCACGGCTGGGACCCACAGCAAGTGGGACGTGAGCAGCTATGTGCTGGGCTGGCTGGGCTCATGCCTCACGGCTGTCGGGCAGCTGGGTTTTGACTCTGCAGGGAGCTTGAACCCCATCCCGGGAATCTGCTGGCTTTACGAGCTGAACATGGTTTAGGCAAAGCAAATAAAAATCTCCTAATCTATCAGTTTTCAAAGTTCAAGAGGTGGCTATGCAGCAGCTATTATCAGGGCTTAGGTTCAACCAGGACAATTTTTAATTTTTAAAAAATGTGTTTATTAGGGGCTGGAGATTTAGCTCAGCGGCACAGAGCCTGCCTGGCAAGCGCGAGGTCGTGAGTTTGATTCCTGGTACCGGAAAAAAACCACCACCACCCGCCCCCCAAAAAAAAATGTTTATTTTTTTTTTTTTTTGAGAAAGGGTCTTGCTATGTAGTTCAGGCTGGCCTTGAACTTACGGAAATCCTTCTGTCTCAGCCTCCTCAGTGCTGGGATTATAGGCATGCACCACCACACCTGGCTTAGCTTTTTAGTTTAACTTAGAAATTTTTATAACTAAAGCAAATTTCCCAGAGGATTAATTCACTACCTGCCATTCCTTTCATTAATTTATTACTGAGAGATGGCAGGAAGTTCTCCTCAGTTCAGAGACTGCAAGACTTTTTTTTTCGGTCTTTTTGAGACAGGGTCCCACTATGCAGTTCAGGCTGGCCTTGAGCTCACTTTGTAGCCCAGGCTGGTCTTGAGCTCACCACAATCCTCCTGTCTCAGCCTCCCAAGTGCTGGGATTATAGGCGTGCGCCACCATGCCCGGCTCGACTGTAAGATATTTTAGAAGTCAAGAATTCTCTGAGAGTTAATCCATTCATTACTCTAATGGAGGGAGGAAGAGGAAAACACGCAATAATTAGGGAATTATTATTAATAGGAATTAGCAAAAATTCTATAGCAGTGGGTCTCAGGCTCTAGCAGCACAAAAATGTCAGGCATAGCATGTGGGTTGTGAGGGTCATCTTAAGTCCACCGAGGCTGCTGAACTGGAGCACTTGCAGAGGCCCAGGATACGTGTAAAATGGGAGCGGATCATAGAAGGCTTAAAGGCAGGAGAAGATTCCTCTCCTTCCTGGAACACGATGGTGACAATATCGTTTCCAATGTGGCGCTTCCTTTCCACCTGTGATGAGCATAAATGACATCGCTGAGGTCACTCAAACACAGAGTTAAAAGACATAACAGTACGACCAACCGCAATGGCCGCTGCAGAGCCCTGATCTTCAGGTGTCCTTGGCCTTCTGCCTCCCACGTTTCACCAGCCCAGTCTCAGCCCTCCCAGTCCTCTCCCAATTTGAACTTGCATTTCCCCTTGACCGCAAAGCCTCCTGCATAGCCTCCATTGACTTCCAACATTACTGTGCTCGTACTGTTTGTCCGTATATCATCCCCTGATCTCCATTTAATAGGAGGCGAGCAGAAGAATTCTTGGGAGGGGAGCTCAAGGGTGAATTTTTATAAACACCTCAGCCAGTTCCTCCCTCCCTCTCCCCTTCTCTCCTTCACCTCACAGCACACACTAGGCAAGCGCTCTACCTCTGAGCTCCATTCCCAGGCTACCCTTCCTAACTCTAAAGCAAACACTTGGTGAGAAATGGTCTTGCCTAATTTGACTCCAGCTGACCTTTCCAAAATGATCTAGATCTGTGATCAACACTTTTTTTTTGTCTCTTTGAGATAGGGTCTACTACGCAGTTCAGGCTGGGCTTGAGCTCACTTTGTAGCCCAGGCCGGCCTTAAACTCGCAACAATCCTCCTGCCTCAGCCTCCCGAGTGCTGGGATTACAGGTGTGTGCCACCACACCTGGCTACACACTTTTCTATAAAGGCCAGATGGATACTATTTCCATGTCCGTAAACCACGTGGTCTTTTTATAACAACGTCGCTCCTAGAGTGCAAAAGCTGCCACAGGCAAAGCACGAACAAGCAGACGTGGCTTGCTGTGGCCCATGGGCCACAGTTTGCTGACCCTGTTCTAGGCCTCTGCCTGTCTCGTCAAACACAGTGACTTGGCGTGCCTCTGGATCCCTGGTGTCCTTAGCTCCAGGATATGGCAGACTAATGATGGGTACTCTTGGTCACACCGCTCCCTGGAAGGTGGCGTTCATGTGCTATTGCCTTCAGTATTACTGCTGGCTGAATACTGCAGCAGTGAACAGACTAGCAAAGCTCAGCCTAGACCAGCACCCAGCCCTGCCTTAAAAGGACCAGCAGCTTCTGTCACCTCTCTCTCAGGACATGTGCTTTCGGGAAGCCTGTGCCCCATGGCAGAAGTCAGCCCCTGTGCAGCAGAGATGGGGGAGGAGACCCCTGGGAGGCCAAGGCAGAGGCCACTGGGAGACCCTGCCACTGCATGGGGCAGGGAGAGGGCACATGTCCCCGTCCAGCCCAGCGGCCACGTGACGCAGCTGGTGGAGACCAGCAGAAGCTGCCGGCTGGGTCCAGTCAGCCACAGAACCACGAGCGATCACGAGGTGAGCGCCAGCTGGCAAGCTCTGGAGTGGTTTGTTACGCAGCAAGAAGTAAGCCAACAGGGGCCTTGCTCACCCAGCTTTCCCTGCCTAGTTTTGGACTCCTGAGTCTCTCAAACCTGACCACCTGTCCCAGCCTAGGCAAAAGATACTTGCTCTAGGACGTCTCCCTGACCTTTCAAGTGTCATCTTTTTTGTCCCTCAATACCCACAGCCCTTTTCTGATGCCATTTTTATGGGGCTTCTACCTTTCGCTTTTGTGTAGGGACATCCTCTGTCCCGGCCCCCAGCCTCTATGCTGCCCGTAAGTCCTGCGGAGCAGATCCCCGACTGATTCATAGAGGAATCATGGGACTCATTCCCAATTCGCCAGTGGAGAAACTACGGTATAGAGCTTTGAATAATTCCAATTCCATTAAGTTAAAAAAATAGTATGTATTGTTGGTAATGATTTCTTGAGTAACCAAGAAATGAAAAGCACATGCAACAACAACAAAATAAATCGGACTCCATCAAAATTTAAAAGTTTTGGGCGAAAAGGACACTATCATCAGAGTGAAAAGACAGTTCAGTGGGCAGAGAGCATTTGTAAAGCATGTATCTGTCAAGCGGTTAATATCCAGAATCTATAAACTCCTACTACTCAGCGACAAAAAAAATTAAAGCAGGGCTAAAGGCTAAAATAGACAGTTTTTCAAAGAGGCCGTGTATATGGACAATATACACAAAAGGGTACTTAAAATCACTAATGTGTGGTGAAATGCAAGCTAAAATGAGATAGCTCCGCACACCCACTCGGACAGCTATCTAAAATAACGAAGCACTGGTGAGGACCCGGAGAAACCGGGAACCTTCGGCATCGCTGGTGGGAGTGTGAAACGGCAGGGCTGCTGTGGACAATGCTATGGTGGCTTCTCCAGGTGTGAAACACAGCTTTACCAGCCGTGTACCCCAAAGAACTGAAAGCAAGGAGTCACCTGTTTGTGTGCCCATCCATGCTCAGAGCGGTATTATTCACAATAGCCAGAAGGGAGAAAGTCCCGAATCCACCAGCAGATGAATGGGCAAAGAAACTGTGGTGTATGTACACAGTGGACTATTACTCAGCCTTAAGGAGTGAAGTGCTGACACGTGCTACCACGGGGATGGACCTTGAGGACACACTGTTCGGTCAGGTAAGGCAGACACGGAAGGACAGCTATTGTACTACTCCACTGACGTGAGGAACGCCGAGTAGTAAAAGTCTATCCGGCTGCAGGAGGGAAGTGTGGGGCCGTCACGCAGTGGGCACACGGCTCCGGCCGAGGAAGTAAGTTCCGGAGGGGGAAGGTGGGGCCGGCTGCCAACAGCGCGCGTGGACTCACTGCCACTGAACTGTGCGTGCCACGTTGGTTAAGATGGGAGGTTTTACATTATGCATTTTTAAACCACAATAAAACGACTGGCAGATGGATAAACAAAATGTAGCTCATATCCATACAAAGGGAACTGTTTGGCAAGTAAAAGGAACGAAGCACTGTCATACCGATGAACTCTGGAAATGTGCCAATCGCAAGAACCTGGTTAGAAAAGACCACATACTGCGTGACCCCACTCACACACAGCGCCCAGAGCAGGGAGACCACACCGAGAGGAGGCAGGCCCAGGCAGCACGTAGATGGTCGGGGGCAGAGTGAGGTAAGGGGCAGGCTGTCTATCTTTGCTGTGTGAAGATGTTGTAGAATTGACTGATAACTGGAAAATCTTGTGAAAATACTGAAACCTCTTGGTTATTTAAGAGGGTGAATTGTATGGCATGTGAGCTGTATTTCAATATTCTTTTTTTTTCTTTTTTTTGCTGGTGCTAGGGATCGAACCCAGGGCCTTGTGCACGCAAGGTAAGAGCTCTACCACTGAGCCACATCCCCCGCCCCTCCATATTCTTTTATATATTTAAAAAACATTACTGCCAGGAACAAAGACAAAAACCCTGCCCTCACTCACACTCCAGCGGGGAGGGGAACAAAGAACACACAGGGAGCAGAACGAACAGGGCTGGGACTCACCCGCAGGTGCCCAAGGGGAGTGACTGCTCCCGAGAAGGAGGGCAGCCCTCGGGCCGCGGGTGTGGCTCCGTGCTGCGTTCACACGCGAGCAGGTCCGAGGAGGTCTGGGGTGGCGAGCGAGGGCCCGTGGGGATGTGGGAGAAGGCTCCCAGCAGTGGGAACGGCAACTCGAAGGCCCACGGAAGGACAGCGTCTCGGGGCAGAGGGGCGGAGGCAAGCCCACGTGGTGGGACACAGCAGACGAGAAGAGCGAGAAGAGCGGTGGCAGGGTGTGCGGGCAGGGAGGCGGGTCGCGCGGGGCCAGGTCGGGACGCTGGTTTGCGCTGGGACCGTGGAGGTGAAGGGAAGCAGAGGGACCTGACTGCGTTTGGAAGGCTCACGCTGCTGCCGGGTTGAGAAGCTGACTGTCAGGGCACAGGGGAGCAGCACGGAGGCCTGAGGAAAGCTACTGCATACACCATCCACTGGGGAGGCTTCAGTCACCCGGGGAAGTGTGACAGGTCTGACTTTAGACAAACTTTGAAGACAGAGCCAGCAGATTTTCTGACAGGTTGAAGGGGTAAGACAGAAAGAACTGCAAAGAATTCCACCACCCCAGCCTGCTAACGTGAGGAGCAGGAGACCTCAGCAGAGGCGGAATCCTGGGAGCAGCCGCTGGGAGAAGAGGCCTGGAGCTCAGTCCCAGCTGCCTGGGGGTGGAGGCGCCCAGCCCAGGGAGGGGTCTGCCGTGCATGTGGAGGGAGGTCAGGCCCCGTGGCTCCGGCATGTTGAAGGTAAGTAAAGTCACAAGGCTGGAGGAGATCCAGGGAGGCACGGAATGTGGAGACAAAAGCCGTGGGTGGGGCCATGTGCACAGTGTGTGTTCTTCTGGCGCAGGGCTAGCTGAGCCTGTGCCTTCATCTGCAACTAAGTGCTGCGTGGGGGTCTGGAGTGTGTGGAGTCAAGATGTCAGCAGCGCTGACCCTGTCGGGTGCCACGAAACAGATGAGGCCCCAAAGACGCTGATAGTGACACCCCTCCTTCGGCCCCTTTGGTCTCCTTGGACCGAAGAAGTTATGGGCATATCACAACCTACAAAACCATTAGCTCGCAGAGTCATTGCAAAGCCTGCTCTTTAAATCACACCTGGGGTGCAGCCCGGACTGTTCCACAAGCGCTACAGATGCGAGAGGATCAAAAAGCCAACAAGACTGTAGGACTCAAGCTGGCCTCTGACTTTTTGTGGTTACCTCAGGCCTGCAAGAAACCGGGGCTGGAGGGTGGTCCTTCCCCAGCTGACCTCAGGAGCAAGCTTTGTTAGAGTTCATGTCATTCTGCATTTCTTTGTCTCTCTTCTCACCTGCATTATTGTCCTGGTAATGGAAGTTTTATAACTTTGATTTTCTCTTGTCTACTGATACTGGGTCAGGGGCGCCCCTGCCAGCCCAGGTACTGAGCACGGCAGGCCATCTGGGAGTAGCTCAGGGCCCTGGGAATGCTGCTGCTGCACCTTGCTATGCTGACAGCGTCCCTAAACAGATGAGGTCATTAACGAGCCCCTCAAAGAGGAAGATTTCTGACTAGGACAGCAGCTGAACTGGCATGTTTGTCCCTCTGGTCCCTCTGGCTAATCTCATGTGCCATGGGGCACGGGCAGTTTCGATAACTGTATCGTACTGAAAAGACTGGCGCTGGGTTTGTAAAATATTTCAATGGAAGTTTTTAAATGTTATCATTAAATGCAACAAGTCAACAAAATTTGCAATGATTGGGAAAACCAGTGTGGTCGCTGCTCTCCACTGGATCCCAAGAGCCTACGAACTTGACCCACTAGGAGGTGAGGTCTGGCAGTGGCAGCAATGGCGCTCTCACCCATGCCGAGGGTGCCCGCCTGCCCACTGTGCAGGGCATCTCAGCCATGCCCAGTCCTCCTGGGCCTATGCACTTCCTGCCCAGCCTGTCCTTTATTGGAGTTCTCCTTCCATAACCGGAACAGATTTAAGGCCTCCACAGGGTCTCCACAGCCTCCCACAAAACCTCCTTATTCCAGCCCTCACACCACCAGGGGGCACCAGCTCTTCCTGCCCCACCCCCCACGTCCCCAAAGCATCTCCACACCCCACCGCGGTAGCCCCATATGCTGCCCTGTGAATCTGCTTTGTGTCTGTCGTGTTGGAATAGGAACTGCACATCCTCAGCCCTAACACACACTCTCTCTAGGTTCCTATTTCTCACAAATATTTGCGGAACTGCCCATTCATGCTAGTGACATTTATTTATACAGCTGTGTCCATGTGTAAAAAGTAATAAGAATCTCATGAAAACCTAAATGGAAATCCCCAAATCCCTCAAAAGCCAGAAGCATGTAAATGCTGCCAAGCGGGAAGATTTTCCCTTGCAAAGAGCCAGGCTCTAGAAGGGGCTGGGGCACCCCAGGGCGTTTTCCAGGGTGGGGCAGCCCACATGGACACTTGGTGTCAATCACCTGTGCTGACCTGAACAGCGCACACGGAGCACTGTGCAGGAGACACTTACTTTATGTCCTGGAGAGTCTCATTCTGACAAGACAGAAGGCGCATTGAAAGAAGTCCCCAAGAACAGTCTTGGGGAGTCCTGTGCTATGGCTGGGCGTGCCGCAGAGGGAAGCATGCCCCAGCGCTGGAAGCTTAGTCCCTAGTGTGGTGTTGGCAAGAGGTGGGGCCTGGTGGGAGGTGAGGAAGTCTTAAAGGGGTGTTAAAACTTTTCTCATGGGAGTCCACTGTTGCTCTCTTGGGTCCTGTAAGAGCAGAGTGTTACAGGTGAGCATGATGCTCCTGCTAAATCTCACTTGCTCCCTGTGTCTTGCTGTGTGGTTTCTCCTGCACCAGCCATTATGGTACCATCTACCCCAAGGCTCTTAGCAGAGCCAAGCGGATACCAGCAGCATGCTCTTGAGCCTACACAACCGTTAACTGAACAAGCCTTTTCTTTATAAAGTACCCAGCCTCAGGCATTTTGTTATAGCATTATAACATGGACTAATACAAGTCTACAACCCCTTCCATACAAATGTTCATGCACACATATGCACATTATTACCCTGACCCTTCATTTCTTTAAGGTGACAGCATTAGTGAAAATAGAGCTCCCTAAGACATGTTGACAGTTGATGTATACAGACAATAAAAACTGTCCCTACACTGCTAGCTAGAATCCAGCTCACAGAGTAATGTGCAGAGCCTCCAGGTCTATGAGATGATTATGATGTTCTCTCAGCATCTGGTTACACAGATGGTTTCTATTCTCCAAGAGCCTGCATTCACACCTACCTGCTGCTTGTTTTCTTTGGAATATGGCAACATGGTGGAAACGTGAAACATGATCTCATGCCCTTGGTACACAGTATAAACCGAATGTATCCCTGTGGTGTCATCTGTAAGATACAAGTGGCCATTTAGTGGACAGAGAATTCTGAGATCATATGGAAATAGTTTCTCTTTGCAGATGAAGGGAATACAGTGCACAGTATATTCTCAAAGATCTTTCTGGATTATCTACCCAAGGAGAAGCAATGGATCCCCCAAGTGTTACTGCTCCACTTCCTGCAAGGCTGCCACCCTTCTATGTGTATCGGGTTAATAATATCCCTTAGTTATGGTGGGCTGATCAGGTCTGCAATCTCCCGAAGGAATACACGGCAAAGCCTAAATAAAAGAGGCAAATGGAATGATTTCAGGGCTCCAGGAGGATTGAAACCCTCTCACAGAATTTGAGATTCTCTTAGGGCTAAGATCAAGACCTTCTCTAGGTGACCAGTATTTATTTAGTTATCAGAACAAGGGAGAGGAATCCTCCAGAAGAGCGGGAACCACTCAAGGACTTCTCCAAGTAAGGTATTAAGTTAATCCACCCAGAAATGAGATGCCTGAGGTGACAGTCTTTATTTAGTTGAGGTTGGATCTAGGTGTCCTTGGTTGTGACCTTGTCTTACCCTTTGAGGCTTTATAGCTTCACCCACCATTACAGGCCTCAGTAGGGATCAGTGACTCACAGAGGTTCACTTACTGTGAGTCCACTGGTCATCCCCAGACAAAGAGCCTAGGCCTTAGACAGACTCACAGGTAAACATGGAAAGCCAATTGGTTAATTTAAGTCCTGCTCAGAGCTGCTTCATAGCGGTCTCCATCACCCCAAGGAGAAGCAATACAAGATTGCCCAAGTGTTACTGCTCTACTTCCTGCAAGGCTCCTACCCTTCTAAATGGATCTCTTCTCTCTTTCTAGACTTGCTCTGTCAGATTCACTCCTGGTCTCAGAAGAGAGATCAGACGCCTGGACTAAGGAGGTGAGCATGTGCTAATTCCTTGACTTCCAGTTGCTGTGGGTGCATGAGATGAAAGCAATGCAAGGTGACACAGCTGTTATGTCCCTGAAGCTAATGAAAGTGGCAGAACTGTGCAGGAAGTAAAAGCATGGGCTTTGGAGGCTGGCAGTCCTGGACTCAGATTCTCATTAGCTATGTTATTTTTATTTTTCAAAGTTTAAGGGCTCTTTTATTGAATTATTTTAAATTATTACTTTTTTTTTTTTTTGTGGTGCTGGAGATTAAACCCAGCACCTCTGCACTGAGCTGCATCCCCAGCCCTTTTTAATTTTTTATTTTTTTAGCTGTGTTACTTTTGGCAAGGCACCTCACCTTTCTCTGGGCCTGTTTCTTAATTTCCAACTGGAGATAAAAGTAGCATCTAACTCCCAGGGATGTCAAAAAGCCTGCAAAGCGCAACTCGGTGGGCGGCGGACAGGATCCTACTGGGGAAGCTGGGGGTGGCCACTGGCGATGAGCTTGCAGGCACCTAGGATCCACCCCATGCACACAGAGACCGAGAGAAGCTGGGACCAAAGCCTCCATCCCTGTGCTCATCAGGTAAGCCACTTCCGGTACAGCTCTCACACACCGCTTCCAACTCGGGCTGCGGGGAGAGGCTCCCAGAGGGTAGGGAAGGGCACCTGGGTTTTGAAGCCTGTCACACTTGGGCCAAAGGAGCCTCACACCATTACCGACTGATTAAACAAAAGGACAAGAGTTAAAACACAAGAAACGGCTAGAAATGCTACACAGAGACGAGACAGCCCAAGTGATTCCCAATCTGAGCCTGCGATCTCATCTGTCTCTGCCTTGCAGGCCCCAACGCCCAGACGCTTCCCTCAATGGTCTCCATCTCACTGCTGGCGCCGTCACCCGCCAGCTACGCCAGGCCCAGGGTGCGGGTGCTGTGCTGAGTCCTTTCTCCTCTTCCGCCCCATTCTCCATTGGCACAGGTCCTCTGCCCTGGAAAGGGCCCTCAAATGAGGCACTCGCCCTGCCAGCCTGCACCGCCAGCCACGGGGCTCAGTACCGCCTGTCTGCGGCAGCTGTGTCTCCCCTGGTTCCTCTTCCTGCTCCTCCACTCCACTCTCCATGCAGCTGCAGCCCAAGGCGCCAACTACGTCATGACCCCGGCCCCACTCCGTAATGACACTGGTGTGAGCTCAAATCCCCAATCCCTGCAGCGTCTCCCCTGCTCCTCTTCCCCAGTCCGTAGGGCACCTTTCCTGCAACCTCTGCTCCCTCCAGCTGCAAAGGTATTTTCAGGGTCTTTCTTGTCTCGGGGACTTCACAGACGTCACCTCTGCCTGGCATTCTCTTCTCTCACTCCAACTGCTCCACTCATCACTCCCTCCCCCTTGTCTGGAACATCATCGCCTTCTCTAGTCCTCCACATTTGGAAAAATGCCCCCAAGGTGCTCTGCACTTCCTAGTTCCTGCAAGAATTCCATGATAAACCATTTGATGACTATCTGTTTAATATCGGTGTTGTCCGGTGGATGCCAGGCTTCTAGAGAGGCAGGGCCCATGCTGGTTTATCCGCTCTACATCCCCAGAGCCCAGCATGGTCCTGGGACACACATGGTGCTCAACAGTAAGTACAGCCAGGTGCTTCTGAATGACAGAGACAATTACGGAGAATCACTGAGTTGTTAGGCGAGTGTATTGTGTGAGTGTCAGAGTGTACTGATATACTCTGGCGATGGCATCACAAGGTAATACAATCTTTTTTTTTTTTTTTTTTTTTTTTTTTTTTTTTTTGTCTTTTTGAGACAGGGTCCCGCTATGCAGTTCAGGCTGGCCTTGAACTCACTTTGTAGCCCAGGCTGGCCCCAAACCCATAGCGACCCTCCTGCCTCAGCCCCCTGAGTGCTAGGATTACAGCTGTGTGCCACCATGCCTGGCTTGGGTTAGCATTTTGTTAAGGACTTTTATGTATATATTCATAAGGGACAGTGATGGCAATTTGCTTTCTCTGTGATGTCTTTGGTCTTTTTTTTTTTTTTGTCTTTGGTCTTAGTACAGGGTTAATACTTGCTTCATACATCTGTGCCCCCACCCTGGGTATAAATTCAGGCACAGGTCAGGCCAACTAACACATTCTACCAATAATAACAGAAGAAATCAAGAGACAAGCTTACTTTTGGTGTCCAGACCGCCGCGGTAGCCTGTCCAGCCCTTTAGAGTGATTGTGTCACCCAGGAGATTTAAAAATTTTTGGAAAGCTTCGCTTCCAATTTCTGTGGGGAGAGGTGAAATATGAAGAAAGAGTGAGTGTCAGTAAGTCCTTATTTTCTAACCATGCACTGAAGTCTTGCACTTGAAAATTAGATACTCCTGATGTGTGTTTTGGTAACAGCATGGGGTCACGTTTCCTTCTTGGGGCCATGAGGGAGTTTCACAATTCCTAGGAATCCAAGGAAAGGAAAATGCCAACCTTACTACCACCAGCCTAGGCACACAGGTGTTTAGTACGGTGGAGATTATTACCGCCTCTATCAACTGTAAGCAGGTATAGAACATGAAAAATGCTATGGATCATGAGGAGGACACCACCTGATGATTCTCCCAACCACAATAATCACAAGAAAAATTTTCCATTGATTTTGAGATCTACAGAAGCAAATTCTCGGGGCTGGGGATTTAGCTCAGTGGCACAGTGCCTGTCTGGCAAGTGTGAGGCCGTGAGTTCGATTCCTGGTACTAGAAAAAAAAAAACCACATCAAAAAAAAATTACTTCTGCAGAAGCAAATTCTCCATATTCATGTGCTTTTCCCCTTAGACTGTATCTCTAGTGCCCAGAGCAGGGACCGGCAGAAATTGGGTGATCAGTAAATACTTCCAGATAAATGAAACCAAAATGCCCTATAAAATTTACCCTTAAGTTTTGTAACAGTATCTCCTTGGATTAAAATTCCAACTCAACAGATGAGTTCAATTTTGGTGGGTGGTGGAGAGATAAGGGTCTCGGTATGTAGTTCAGACTGGCCTCAAATTCATTACGCAACCCTGTCTGGCCTTGAGCTTGTGGTGATCCTCCTGCCTCAGCCTTCTGAGTGCTGAAATGACAGGCGTGCGCCACCACGCCTGGCCAATTAATGCAATTTGGAATGAAAAATACAACGCAGGATGAGGTTTCCATTAGCAGAAAGCAGGAAGAGCCCACTTACCGTTGCTGAACATATCATCGTCAGTGAGCTGTCCATCTTTGGCAAAAAGAACCCCAAATTTGAAGTTCACAGAGCCCTTTCAATAGACAGCAAAAGATCATTTCACCATCAAAGCAAACAGGTATGAGATATCTGTTCATTAATTAGGACCACTGCAGTCACCAGAGCGGATGTTGGGGGATTCCAGTGTTAATCAATGTTAATGAGCACTCCTTTATTATTTATTTTGAGGTAGGGCCTCACTAAATTGTCCAGGCTGGCCTCCAACTTGCAATCCTCCCACCTCAGCCTCCCAAGGAGCTCAGATTACAAGTATGAGCCACCACGCCCAGCTCATGCCTTTCTGTCAGTAGGTTTTTATGGCTTGCAGATAAGATGATACGCTTTTTTGTGTTTGCTCATTTGTAATCTCTTTACTAATGGTATCTGCGGGATGTCAGGTCCATTCTGGGGCAATACAGTGTGACAGGCAAATGGCCACAGCAGCCATGGGACCGATACATTTTCTAATCCACCCGTGGACAAGTCCAATTCCCAGTCAGCAAGGAGAGCTAATTGTGATTCAAAGCAGAACCTAACAATCTTAGGCTGATGTCTTGTGGACTCTTTCAGAAATAGAAATGGAAATTGTAGGCAACTTACACTAAATGCTCATTTTCCTCAATGCCTAAAGATATTTAATCTGAAGAAGTCACAAAGCAGATGTGGAAAAATTAAAAAATAAAAAAAGCAAGCCAAGAAAGCAGTAGTTAGTAGAAATGTGCAGTCCACCATCTTCAACTTTAATGCTAGATTAACAGAACCTGGTCCTGCGGAAATGACCAACAGCAAATATGAGATACTGATTAGGAAGGGGGGAAGAGACGGGAAAAGGGCCAGGGCTGGAGTGGAAAACAGGGTCTCAACCGCACGCTTCATGTTTTTTCCTTTAAGCTGGGTGGTAGATTTATAGATTTTCATTATATTTTTCTATTTTTCCGTTTTGTTTTTTGCATGCTTGAAGTATTTCATAGTAAAAAGAAATCCATTACTGGAAGAGAATCAACCTCTGCGAAGTCACTTGATTCACCAGTGTGGGGGTTCCTGGTGATCAGTGGGGTGGGCAGACCGGGGACAAAGTGCTCAGGGCCTGGGCCAGCACACCTGCGGAGGGAGGTCAGAGCAGAAGGCCAGGGTTCAGGAAAACTGAAGGGAGGAATTAAGAATCTGAAAATCCCAGAGTGTGTGCTTGTAAATATTTTTCTGTCCCCAACACACCCATGAGATAGACACCCAGCCATGAGCAACAGCAGATTTCTCCAGGGGGAGGAAAGGGAGGATGCTCCCAGCTGATCCCCCTAGAACTGCCCCTGAGTGCCGGGGATAGCTGCTCTTCCCCATCATGCCGGTCTCTGCTCCAATGGCAATTTCCAGGGAGGCCTTTCCTGATGGCCCTGATGTAAGGCCAGCCATCCCGATGGTCACCCTCCATCAGGCCACTCATTTGTTTTCCTCGGAGCACTTTCTGGAACTTTCAGATGGTCTGAACCTAAGCCCCCGCAGCAGGGGTCACGAATGTTTTACTTCCTGTTGAATCCAGAGTTGAGCTTGGGCACCTGGAACCTTGTGGATGAATAGGTGTTCATGGCGTAAGTGACCATGTGCACAGCAAATGACGACAGAAATGACACTGCCCGGAAACCACTTTGCACCTGGGTCTCTGGGGGACCACTTCTTCCTCACAGGCCAGTTTTTGATTCTTTAGAATTCTGTCAGGAATTTGTACCCACTGGTTTCTATGGTTTGTCACTTTTCTTTCTCTGTTTAAAAAGTGACAGCAGTCATTACATATCTCCCAGATGTTGGCACCTCTCCCATTCTTGGGGGTCTACTCAAAAGCACCCATAAGCAATCCAGGCTGTAAAGGAGGACCTTCTTGGAAGAACCCTGCAGGGCCTGAAACAGTGCTCCCCCACACTGACCAAGCCTCAGGATCCCCTGGCGGGCTCCTTAGAGACAGCTGGGTCCCTCCCTGGAGTTTCCCTGTTTGGCAGGTTTGTATTGGTACCTGAGTCTGTGTTTAATAGGTTCCCAGGGACCCCGCTTTGAGAACCACCGCACTAGAGGACAAACGAAGGTGTGGTCAGGAGGCCCAAGATCAGGCCCAGCTCTCCTGACTGCCACAAAGTCGAGGACAAAAGCACCAGGTCTCTCATCAGAGCTATGAGAGATGAACGAACAGCACATCAGGGCTACAGCCTGCAGAGCCCGCATTTTCCTTTGCAGTCAGGACCAGGGAAGGCCGGGGAAGGAGAGACTGTCCCGGGCTGGTACTGAGAGGGTGGTGGGGCTGGCGCAGAACTCCACTTCTTGCCAGTGTCAGGGCACGGTCTTCTCCGGGCAGCTGAGCTGAGCATCACTGAGAGCTCTCAGCAGAGACAGGGCTGACTGCCACCTGGACACCGGCCAAAGCCTTTCAAAGCTCTGTGCGGCTGTGCTGAGACTGGCACTGTGCTATGGGTGTCCCCGCTGAGGATCCCTCCTGCTTCAGACGGAGACCCCAGAAGAACCGGTGTTGTGAGGTCTAAGTCATCATCCCATGGCGTTGGGGTCAGAACTGAAAAGACTATTGGGCATGCTCAGGGGCAGAAAGGCAGTCTTCCAGCTACTTGCCCACCCACAGGTATGAGATCTTCCATGTCACTTGCAGGCAGGGAGAGCATGTGTCCAGTTTGCCAAGGCAGCCCTGGCCTGAATCTGTTCTGTCTGTTGTCCTCATGTCTCAAAAGAGTTCCAGTTTACAGATAAAACCTCCGGCTTCAGGAGAAGATTTCAGAAGGACTGGTGTTGCAATGCCCCTTTAAGTTTTTAAACCTACGTACAGGGTTTCATCTAGGTACTTTGGTTTTCTAGGGCTTCTCAAATGTTATCCATGGCTAACACAGCTTCTGTTTAGTTCTAGAAACCAAGGTACTGGCCAATATACTGAGTTACGTCATACTTCAGGAAGGAGAGTTTGGTCCTGGGTACCTGACCATAATGGAGCATTTCAAGTTGCTGTTTTCAGGTGCTCAGAATGGAACCCTGGGCCTTGTACAACACGCAGCACAGGCTCTACCCATGAGCTGCACCCCAGCCCCTGAGGGGTCATATTGGAGCTACTCAACCAAACACCATCCGTGCTTCCTAAACTGGCTGCAAGTAGATTGTGAGGGAAGGAGAGGATTCCCGATGCCCCAGGACCAGACCCGGATGCCAGGGAGGTAACTGCGGGAGGGAATCGTGCGCGCTGACAGGTCGTATTTGTCGTTCCTACCTGCA